CCCCCCCCCCCCCTCCACACCTTTTTTTTTTTTTTTATGAGGCGAGATAGACTCTAAGCTGAAAGAGTCAAAATGGACAGTGACCGATTTTTTATTTTTATTTTTTCCTGTTTGTGGTTGGACAACATTTTTTAAATTTTTGTTGCCATTATTATTATTATTTAGCTCTCTTTCTAATGTGATGGGAGTGTTGTTGTTTTTTTTTTCCTACGTGCTTCAGCGGCTTTGTCAGGCATGCAGCTGAGGTGGGGCAAGAACTTTACCTTTTTTTTGCTTTATATTGTTTAACTTGAGGCACGTGAGGGAGGGTTGAGCCGCGCAACGTGCGTGTGCACGTCACGGGGGTCAAAGATGCAGGAACAGGCGCACCTCCCTCCGCCGGTGCGTGTTGTATGCTTTCAAGTGGGAACAACAAAAAAAGGAGTTGTGGCAGACGATGCCAAAGCCTCGTGTGCGACGGCGCTGCTGCAAATATTGGTCATCGTCTCTTTTCTATGTGTTTTCTGTGTAGATGGAGGATTCACGTGTTCATTGTGGCGTCTCACATTTCCTGCCTGCATCTGAGCAATGGAAACCAAAACGAAGAAGGACGTGGAAGGCCACAGGCGTGAGCCTTTTTTTGTAGAAGGGAGTGATGGGCACGTGATAAGAGTGGGAAAGAATTTTGGGGTTTGACGTTTTTTTTTTTTTTACTTTCATCGAAAAAAGGCCTGCGTGAGCTCCTCGCTCACTCTCTTGCGAAAGAAGGATGGAATTCCGCCGCAACTCGGTTGACCACTGCGGCGTGTTGCACAGCAGCTGAAGCTGCGTCATAACTTTCAATTTGTTCTTTTTATATATATATATTATTTCTTTGTGGGTTTTGGGTAGAGTTGAGCAAGCCACATACACACACGCCCATTCCACAGCACTCCCAATGGAAGGTTCACATGTGAAGGAGCTCATTCAGAAGTGGCGCGCGCTCAGCAAAGAACTGAAGGAAAATAATGTGGAGCTTGAAAAGACACGTGCGGCCCTGCAGGAGCTCGAGGGGCAACACGCCAAGACGGTTCAGGACTGGGATCTCGAGAAGGCCAACATTCAGAACACAATCTCCCTTGTGTGGGAACAGGTGTCCAAGAAGAAGGAGGAGCTTTCACTAATTGAGAAGGAAACATCCGACCTCCAGCTAAAGGTGGATGAGCGGCGCGTGCGTAACGAGGAACACTGGGGCGTGCTAAATAAGCGCAAGCAGGCGGTTGCAGCGCGGTTGCAGGAGATTGAGGAAAAGGAGAAGGATACGAGGGAGGGATTGCGCCAGTTTCGCGAGGCTCGGGAGGAGAGCAAGCAGCAACTCCTTTCTGCCATACGCAAGTTTGAAGACGCGGAACAACAAGAGCGGGTGGAGCATCAACAAAAGACTCGACAGGTGCGAACCAGGATTGCAGAGCTTGTGGCGTCGATAGAGGCTGAAAAGAAATCATGGGCCCTAGATACGGCAATGCGTGAATGGAATCAAAGAAATGACGCACGTAGGTGGCTGAGCGAGGAGGCCAACGCTGCCGAGGCCAGCAAGGGAGTATGGGCGGAGGTCATTAAAGAGGGTGAAGCGCTGCACTGTGACGATGCCCTTAAGGAGCTGGATGCGCTTTGCGCCCTTGTCTCCTGTTAGAGGAAGGTGACTCTTGTCTCGCTCTATCACTCTTTTTTTTTGTACATTTGCTGGGGTGTCTTCACACGAGTCTCAGAGAAGTGGCCGGGCACTACTCCGTTGTTTGGAGACAACTCCCCCCACTCTTTCTTTCGCATGACTTTTCATTTTATTAGATCTTATGAAACAAATTTTTGTTTGTTTGTTTGTTGCTGCTGTTGCCTGCGTAGATACTGTATAGATCTTTTCTAGGGGGGAGGGGGTGCTTCTTTCTGTGCAATGCCTGGGCCCTTCAGGCTTGGACCACTGCAATTGCTTTATCACTTATCCCTCCTCTCTTTGCTGCCCTGCCGCTCTGTTGGTGCTCTTTGTCTTACCTCCAACATTCCCTCGCGCCTTTCTTTCAATCTCCTTGTATGTGTGCGATTGCTTGCTGTTGTTCTTTCCCCCCCCCCCCCCGTGGTGGTTTGTTTTGCTCTCTTTCTTTCTGTGCGCTAGGGTCCTCGACACTATAGACGCACCGCCTGTCAAGTATTTGGAGTTAGGCGTTGAAGTGCACCCACCCGTCCTTTTTCTGGTGTTGGTTGATGTCGAGTCAGATTTGCATTCGTTGCCTCCCCCCTGGATTTGACGAGCAGTCTCTCCTGCGTATTTGCTCTTCCTTTGGTGATGTCACGTCCTTCGAAGCTCGGACTGTTGTTGCGGGAGCTGCCAAGGAGGAGGAGTGCACCGCCGATGTGCAGTTTGAGGAGGCAGAGGACGCCTCGGCCGCCGCAGGGAACATGAATGGGATGGAGTTTGGCGGCAAGCATCTTCGCGTGTTTCTGAAACGTGTCGTTGCTTAAGGGCGCCAGAATATGCTCGGCATATCTTGTTGACTTTTGGCTCACGTGCATGGGTGTAAATGGAAGCGCACATCTGTGCTGGAGGTTTTTCTTTCTCCTTCCTTCTTGTTGTTTTTACTTTTCATTTTTTCTTTTGCATTTTTTGATGGATGTAGAAAGAAAGGACGCGGAACGCGCTTTTTTTTTTCGTTTGTTTGTTTGTTGGTGGTTGTTGCAGAGAAGCAATGGAAACGCACGGGACTGAGCAGGAGTACGTTGTCATTCTTGATGCCGGCTCGCAGTATGGGAAGGTGATTGACAGGAAGATTCGCGAACTAAAAGTGGAGTCGCGTGTGATGCCGCTCAACACCCCAACCGAAACCCTCCGCAGCGACCGCCGGATCAAAGGCATCATTATAAGCGGAGGTCCAAGCTCCATCTACGACAAGGATGCTCCAGCATTTAACCCTGATCTTTTTGAGGTTGGGAAGCCGTTGCTTGGCGTATGCTACGGGATGCAGCTTCTCACGCAGGCCTTTGGAGGGAGCGTTGGCCAAACCGATGTGCGAGAGGACGGCCAAGACGAAATATGGATTGACTTAACCTCACAGCTTTTTAACGGACTCTCTTCAAAAGAAAAGGTTTTACTCACGCACGGAGACTCCATTACGGAGCCTGGACCACAGCTTAAGGTCATAGCACGCAGTAGTGCCAATATTATTGCCGCTGTTGGGCACCACCAGCTTCCACTGTTTGGTGTGCAGTTTCATCCGGAGGTGGAGCTTACGGAAAATGGCATGCAGATATTTAAGAATTTTTTGACTCTCTGTGGCTGTCACTTTACCTTCACGATGGAAGACCGTGAACAGGTTGCACTTCGCATGATTCGTGAACGTACGGCTCAAGGGCAAAAAGTACTGTGTCTTGCGTCGGGTGGGGTTGACAGTACTGTGTGTGCGGTGTTGCTGCTCAAGGCTCTCGGACGCGAGCGGGTGGTGTGTGTACACATTGATCATGGGTTTATGCGTCTCAGGGAGAGCGAAGAAGTGGTGGCCGCTTTAGAGGGGGCCGGGGTTTCTGTGATCCTTGTTAATGCCTCCGAGCAATTTGCGCAAGCGACAACAGAAATGCCCGCTAGGCGCACACGTGCGCCATATAGGACAGAGAAGCTGTGTGAAGTGGTAGACCCCGAAGAGAAGCGTGTCATTATTGGTAATACCTTCATGTCTGTGTGTGATGCTGTTGTTAAGGATCTTAAGCTGGATGTGAATAATATACTGCTTGCCCAAGGCACTCTACGCCCAGACCTCATTGAGTCCGGGTCCCCATATGCCAGTTGCACCGCGGATACCATTAAAACACATCACAATGATACAGCTGTTGTTCGCCAGCTGCGCGAGTCTGGCCTAATTATAGAGCCACTTTGCGACTACCACAAGGATGAGGTACGAGAGTTGGGTGTACGGCTTGGTATTTCACCACACTTGGTGCAACGGCAGCCTTTTCCTGGACCTGGACTGGCTATCCGCACCCTCTGCAGCGACGGCATGCCCTACAGGGACGAGTTTTATGAGTCAACAGCTCAAGTTGTGCAGGCCATCTGCAAGGGTGACACGAGCATTGAATTGGTACAGCCACTGAGTGAGGCTCTTAAGGATCTCCAGCCGGCTTCTTGTATTCTGCCTGTGCGTACGGTTGGTGTTCAGGGCGATGGCAGAACCTACGCCTACGCAGTGGCCATTTCTACCGGTCGGTCTCCATCGGAGGCGGATTGGCGGGTACTTAGCCGTTTGGCGCTTGTCATTCCGAAGGTTGCACGTCACGTCAATCGCGTGGTGTTTATGTTTGGCCCGAGGCGGGATACTGCTCCGCAACGTGTCACGAAGACGACATTGACTCCCGCCAGCCTCAACAAACTGCGTATTGCGGACGACCTTGTAAATTCTACTTTACTGAAGCACGATCTTGTGCGCCGGCTTAGCCAAGTCCCCGTTATCCTAACGCCGCTTGGCTTTGAGGAAAAGGGACAATACAGCATTGTAATACGCACGTTTGTCACAAACGACTTCATGACGGGGGTTCCCGCGCTTCCTGGAACCCCGCTGATGCCGCTGGCCGCCTTGGAGGAAGTGGTGAATTCGTTGCAGCAACTTGATTTTGTGTCACGCGTCTTATATGATCTTACGGCGAAACCGCCTGGAACGACGGAATGGGAATGACGCGGGGGAAGTCTCTCTCTCTCTCTCTCTCTCTCTTTCTGTTTGTGTATGTATGTCCCTTCGGTTAATTTTGTAGTGTATGAGACTGGACATGTGCATGTGGTACTTTTATTTTGTCGTGGAGTTCTTACTTTTTTTTTTTTTTTGTTTGTGAGGGGGTGGGGGTGAGTGGGGGGTTCCAAGACGAATTGAAAGGTAAACGTAGTAGAAGAGGTAATAAGCGCTGGGAAAGTGGAGTAACAGACTAAGAGTTCGCCTCATTTATAACGTGTATGTGCCTGGGAATGGCGAGAGGAGAAACTGAGGAAGGTGGTAAACGCCTTTGCGAAACAATATATATATATAAATTAATAATAATAATACGGGGCAGAGGAGGGAGCGGCCAGCTTCTTTTTTTTTTTTTTGTCTCCTTTCCTCTGGTTTGATCTTCCCCCAATCACGTGCCACTGCCGCGTGCTGCATCTATTTTGCGTTTCCTTTCCATCCCTCTGTCTCTCTCCGTGTTACGCGCTGATGACCACCCGAACATGCACACCAGTTACGCCCAACCGAATTTTTTGGAGCAACCGAAAAAAAAAAAGGAAAAATATAATAAATAAAAAAACAACTGACAAAATCTTTTTCTCCGATCAGTGTTATTTTAACATCTTCGTGATGGCATGTATCATGAAGGCACCGTCTATTACCGCGGATCTCAGTTGCGCCAGTGTCCTTACGGCAAAACGACATGTGGAACTCTCGCCCCCAACGACGGCCCTGGCGTGTAGAAATACCTTCAGCGTCTCTCATGCCTCGAAGCACCCTTGCGCTGCGGTGGCAAAGTGCTTCTTGGATGAGCGCATTCCGCAGCAACGAGAGGACATGGATGCACAACGCAGCGCCATTCGTCAACACCAGCAGGCGAAACGTCGCGAAATCACTGAGGCTTCTGAGAGGAGGAACGCAGTGGGCACCAGTGAAACGGTTATTGGACTAAAATGTTTAATGCGCCATGCCGCCGAGCATAGTATTCGCCACGCCCATGTGTTGCAGTATCACCCGACGGTTATTAGTTTTATGCGCCAGACCTGGCAGTGGCTTCTTCAACAGGTGCAAACGTACCTAAGCGGGCCCGACACCAGCGAGATTGCAGAAGCTGAAGCGCAGCTTGCAGACCGGTGCCGAGAAGCACTAGAAAATATATCGGCTCTTGGTGTGTGGTTTTCCGGGGCCATGTCGATTCCCTTTCGTCGCTACTCTGTTTGCGCCCCCGCGAAGGATGGCACGCTGCAAGACTTTGTTTTGGTTGGTCTGGCGTCGTTCACGTACTCTTCGCACGTTATGGACGACCGCCGCCTCGCCCAGGAGGCCACCCTTGCCGAACTTGAACGACTCTCCAAGCGGCTCGGTGTGAGTCTTCTTTTTTTGCCCCCTTTGGTCCTGCCTGAGGAACCCCTGCGGGAGAACTGCGGTTGCACCCACACTGAAGATTCTGCCTAGCAGAAAATGGTTGTGTAAGACGAAGAGAAAGGGAGGGGGAGGTGGAGGGGAGTAAACTTCTTTTAACGTGGTATAATTCAACTGGTTTGAAAAGGGGCAAAAAAAAAACAACAACAACAACAAAAACTATCTCTCTGTATTTACCTACTTTTCTATATGCACAAATGTTTGTACAAGTCGAGCGTGTTCGATGATAAAAGTCGATCGATGTTTATATGTGCACGACCGTCTTGTTCATTGGTGTAGTACTTGCATATAAATTGGAGTAAGTGTTTTGTACAACTGTCTAAATAACAATGAGAACCAGTTTTGCCGCTGTCCGCAGGGGGAAATAAAAAAAAAAAGACACATCACAAAAAAAACGAAAAACAAATAAAAAAATTTACCTGAAGCGGCAGGCTTAAACGCCTTTGAAAGAAGGGAAGAGAAAAGCAGCGGGAGGGTTCTGTATGCGCCGTTAAGTAGAGCACAACTCATGCTAAATTTTGTTGTGTTGTGTTGTGTGTGTGTGTGTGTTGATTGAAGCGCGCACATGGGTATGCCATAGGATATTTTGCTTATGTGTGTTTTTGTTTTTGTTTCGTCGTTCATTGTTTTTTTTTTCTTTTTCATATTTTGCCTTTCTTTCTCTATCACCTCTTATTTTCATTTTTCTTTCCCCCCTCCCCCCTCCTCTTCTTTTGTTGTTGGGGTCTATTTCTACGATTGATCGTTTTTTTATTATTATTATTATTATTGGTTTTCAGCTAACTTTCTCTGTTGCTGCAGCCGTCTGCTTTCTCACTCACTTTCCTTCTGTGTGTATACTCCGCATCATCTTCCTTTTTAGGCGGTGGGCTAAACTCTTCTGTATCTTTCCCCATCACCGCGAGGAAAAGCTGAAGTGTGAAACGGGGGGCACACATACGGCGGTAGATCTTTATATATATATATATATATAACCTCTGGAGGTGCGCAGGCGAGTTTTCATTTTAATATGAAACTCCCTCTCCCTTCTTTCACCGAGTGGAGGAAAAAGAAATTGCAGTTAAACGGAAAACGTACGATTGAAGAAAAAAAGACACGTGGGGAAAAAAACAAAAACAAAAAAAATAAACAAAAACTGCCGACCTTAGAATTAACTACTGCGGCAGGGCAATGCGAGATCATGATCTCTGTTTATCTCTCAGAGTCTTATTTGTTTGTTGTTTTTGTGGGGGTGGGGATGAACTAATGTGTCCATATTGCTTTCTTTACTTTTGTTTTGGTTTTGGTTTCCTCCTATTTCTAGCTATACGGTGAAATGCCAAAAATGCTCTTGTTTGGCTGTATATATATATATATATATATATATAATTTATATATTACTTGCTCAGCCTACGTTACAACGTTACAACAAAAAAAAAAAGACAACAACACGTCTTCTTACTTTTCCCTCAGCTCTTGTTTTATGGCGTCTTGTTTCAAATTGTCCTGCCTACTTCGTCTCCATGATGTCATTTATGCGCTGCGCGACTGCGTAAGATGCGAAGAAACAAAACCAAGCTGTGGGAAGCTGTTTTTTTTTCTTCGTTGTTGTTGGTTCCACGCCATTTTTTCTTTGTTGGTTATTGTTGTGCATGTGCCTTTCACTACTGGCGTGGGGCTCGCGCGCTTTCTTTCCTCTGTTCTTTGCGACGTTACGGCGGACCTTTAGTAAATACTGGGAAGAGAAGGGAGGGACGGTCTGCTTGCCTTTATTATTATTATTATTGCGTTTGCATATACTGCGGTTTATTCATTATTATATTTACATGTAGAAATAAGGGGGGGTTGTTTGGCTCTCGTTTACTGCGAACCCGTGCAGAGTCTCCTTTTTATAGGCAAATGATAGTATGAATGTAGGCATAATTTTTTTTTTTTATCATTACTATGGATTTGCCATATAATATGTTTTGATGTACAGTTTTTCGTCGTAATGCAGCTTTGGTAGTGTCAATCTCGGATTGGCTCTCCTCCCCTTCCAGACGGCATGGAAATTCAAGCAATCTTTATATGCATATATTCATAAATACATATATGTGGGACCCGGATGTAATACCCCGCTCCCGCTCCCGCTCCCCTGCAGAAGTATAGGGAAAATGTCTTCCTCTTTGATGCGGTATCGTGCTTCTCTGAATTGTGTGGAGAGGTCGCCAATGTGGTGCCGTAATATGTGCAGCAAAACAAAAAAAAAGGTGACCTTTACTTTCAAGGAAAAAGAAGCAAAATGGGGCAAAAAAAAAGAGCAACAAATTATATGGAGGGGAGGCTGAGCATTTGCATGCCTTTATTATTATTCATATTTCATTTTTTTTTGTATGTGTGTGGTATTCTTCTCGACTGCTTATGTCGATGGAATTTATCTTGACGTTGTGTTTCACTGCATCGTGGTCTTCTCGTTGTTGTTTTTTCTATTGTCGTAGGGTGCGGGGTGCGTTGCCTCATTTTTTTTGTTTTTTTCGTTGATTTGACTCCTTGTCTTAAACATTTATGTTTTGTTTTACCCCTTTACATTCGAACGTCACCGGCCCCGCCATTAAAGGCCACACCTCTCCTTCCAACGCCATCGTCGCGCATTCATGTATGCTAGTACAGAAGAGACTGCGTGGGGAGCGGCAGCTTGGGTGTGTGTACTAGCAACGTGGAGTCCTCCTGGTGGGTGACCAGGACGAAGGATCATGGCTGGGGCCAGTGGAGGAGAAAGAAGAACAATGGTTGTGGAAAACTATCAGTGCTTCATTGTCTTGTCTATTATTATTATTACCTTTACTATTATCGGCCTGGGTGTGTGTGTGTGATTTGCGTTGGGCGATGCTCGGGCAGGCCGCACTTGCCGTGTGGCGACGCTTCATCTCACCTAAGCTTCTGCTAACACACACACACACACCGCCACTAGGAATAAAAATGGAAGGTAACAGCAATGATGGTAGCGATTCATGGGGAAGGCCAGCCAGATGCACGGGAATAGTAATGAGAAGTACCTTTTTGTCTTTGTGCCGTGTCTCCGTGTGCGTGGTGTTTTGTTTGGGGCTATGTTTTTTTTTTTTGATGCGGTTTGCCACAATTTTATTTGCTTTTTTTTTATCTTTGTATTTTTGTGGCACCATTCTCCTTCCCCGCTACAAACGTGGATATTTTTACTGGAGTGCTGCCTGTAGCGGTTCCTCCCACAGCAAGGCATAAGTGCACCGGGGTTGTGTGTCGCCGTACGATGTAAGTTTCGGTGGAGCCACCCTGTAAGGACTTTTGGTTTGCAATTGCTGGGGGCGGGGAAATAAATGCGGAGGCCGAGGCCATTCTGCAATGAAGCGTCACTGTTGACGTGACGTGTGTAGTTTTTTCTTTTTTTTTTCTCAACAATACTCGAAAAACGATACATTATTTAATTTTAGTCTTGTTTCGCTGATTAGCCGCAGTTTATGATTGAAATCCATTTATGCTTACACTTAGGTCTTGTGTGGTTTTCGTGCTCTGCAAATGCTTGGCGAATTCACGGACTTACGCACAGCCAAACGCAAAAGGGACAGATGTGGGTCGTTGGGCATAATATCGCTGCTGTTTTTTTTTGTTGTGTTTGTTCTTTAGTCTTTTTCGGCGTGTTGCTGAGAAATATAAAAATGAATTCTTTGGACTCTCTCTTGCAGCTACACAACGAGGCTGAAAACGTGTTTGGCCAGCGCCTGCTGCTCCCTGTTGATGAAGAGTTTGTGCATTCCCTGCACGGTGATTCATTAACTGCGGTGCAACGCGCAGGTCACGGTTCTTTTCATGCCTCTTACCATAGCCTGCTTCAACGCACTCGCCATCATAGCTCTGGCGTCTCCCCTGGCATTCCGCAACTCCTCTTTTCTTATGTCGCAGAGGCTGTTGCCGGTAGTCGCAATGGAGAGTTTATGGGGCCACTTTGCGTGCCAATGCGCAAGTCTCACGCGGCGACGCTGCGTTCAGAGGAGTACTTTTTGATGGAGAAGAGCGATGGCACGCGGGCAATTTTGGTGTCGTTTTGTGTACAGGCGTTCCCGTGTTGGGTGCTCCGGGGCGGTAATAGTTGGACCCGCAACTCTTTGCGCCTGGACGACGTGGCTGCTTTGGAAGATGTACGGCAACTGGTCTGCCAGAGTACCATGCCATCGAGGAGTGGCTGGCCACTACAGCTTTCACTCGGTGCGTTTTATGTTGAGAGTAAGGTAACGATATCGCCAGATGGTGAAGTGGAAACATTTACCTTAAAACCGTGCCCCGCAACGCCTTCTGCGGCTGCGGCTGCTACAAACAACATTATGGCGGAACGCAGGTTGGGTACACGGCATATGGGGTACTGCTTTGATCGTTCTATGACGCAGGCGTACCTTCTATTGGAGGAGTATGCAGTGCCCTCTCTTTTAGCCTTTGCTGTGGATGGAGAAATCATGATTGCCGTGAGTGACGTAGAAGAGAACGGGACGAAACCAATTTTTGGGTGTTTTGACGTCTTTCGATACACTCAAATGAAGGATGCCGAGGATGGGGATACCCCGCTGACGCGCTGGCCCATGTCTAAACGATATGAAGTGTTGCGGAATCTTATAGTTGCACCCATGCATCCCGTCGAAAATGCACGTACCCCAGCGCCTTGTTTACGTATATTTGCGAAGCAAATGTTTCCAATAAAGAAATTTGCTAGATGCGTTTCCCGGATTCACCGAGTTGACACGGGTGAAAAATTGGGGGTTGGGGAGTACTACTACGACGGGCCCCATGGATTGACAAGGAACGATGGGTTTATCTTTACCCCTGAAAAGTTTGATCTTGTTCAAGGCGCGAGGAAAGAACAGCTCAAGTGGAAGTGGCCATCTTTGCTCTCTGTGGACTGGAGCATTACCGCTATTGCGGATCGCACTGATGAATACACGGTGAATCTATTTTTTCGTAAGAGACGCTTTGGTCATACTCCTGATAGCGTTGGTTGCCCCCGTCTTTCTTCTGCAATGCGTCTTTTGAATCCTTTCTCACTCCGAATACCGACAGGGAATTCGGTTGTTGCGGAGTGTATGTTTGATCGTAAGGAGAAGTGCTGGTCCATTGAACGTCTACGCACTGATAAGACTGAACCAAATTCAGTTGTTACCGTCATTTCGGTGTTGGAAAGTCTTGTGGAGGACATAACACTTGAGGTGTTGATTGACTTGATTGGCGTGACGGACACCCTTTTGGCCAGTGAAGTACAGTCCCTGCAGGGAGATGCAGAGGAGGGGGTGGGCAAGACAAACACTTGGTCCTTGGAACCCATCAGTAAGCACAACACATGTCAGTTAACGCTGCGAGCCACACAGTTGCAGACGCCAGGCAATCATGAGCTTTATCTTTACTGGGCAGTTCGAATTCCCTCCGAGAGGCAGTGTATTCCATGCATTCACTGTAAGGTAAGCGAGTGTACAGGTTTGGGATTTACCTGCCCGGCAGAGGATGAGACATCAAAGCTTACTGAAAACTTGTACATTGCGTTGGCAAACGCAGGCGGAAGTTACGCCTGGTCGGATTTCACAGTTGACGCCGTATTTGACGGAGATACGGGACGGTGGAATATTGTTTCTTTGCATCCGACGGGAGACAATCGAAAGTCCACCTATGTAGGTATCATTGAGCATCTTCAGTATCTTCTCGTGCATGGACGCGAAGCGGTCAGGGCCATCATGGCTTTTGCTGACGAGCAACAAATATACAGTGCAACGAATATGCCTATGACGAGCTTGTTGGAGAAAACGAACAATCATTACGCCTGCAAAACAAGGGAATTGTCCGCTGAAAAGAGTCGGAGCGCATTGAGATTGTTTAATAATTGGGTAAAGAACGTACTGATTACCAATGCAGTTGCGTACTTTCCACTGCAGCGTGGTTACGAGACGAATGGCGACGGTCTAGCAGTGGCGGATCTATGCTCGGGCCGTGGGGGTGATCTTTTCAAGTGGAGGGCGCATCAGCCGTGGTATCTGTTTATGGTGGACTCCTGTTTAGACGCTGTTGCTGAATCTGCGGCACGGTACTCCATTTCGAGGGGTCTGAGTGTGAAGGGTGTATCACAGGGGAAAAGTAACCCTGGCGTCTTTGCATACTTCACCGTTTGTGACGTGTTCGACGAAAAAGGGGCCTTAGAGGTCCAATTTGAGAACTTCTTCAACACATATTTGAAGGGGCGGCGGTTAGACATTATTTCCTGTCAGTTTTCGCTTCACTACGGCTGCAGCACGGAGGAGCGAACGACTTGTTTTCTCCGTGCCGTATCCGCCGCGCTGCGTCCAGGCGGTGTGTTTATTGGAACGACAGTAAGCGATGCTGAGCTGCGTCGTCGCCTGGCTGAGCACGGGCCTGTGTTTGGAAATAGCGTCTACACCGTGCGGTTTCCCATGGAGGCACCACCTGAGCAATCATTCGGTGTACAATACTCGGTTTCTGTAGAAGAGAGCGTGACTGAGCTTCCGGAGTACTTGGTGCCGTGGGAGCGCCTTGTCACGCTGTGTGGGTCGCTTGGTCTTCAGTTGGTGGAGTCGCTGGGGTTCATGGAGTACAGGGACCTACACTACCACACACCCAAGGGGCAGGAGCTGCGGGATGTTGCCGTGGTGGGCGGGAGGCGAGATTATGACGGTCATGCCTTGCTCTCTCTTTCTTCAGAAGAAGAAGAGGCCGCGTCGCTGTTTCGAACGTTCTTATTTCTTAAAAGCTGAGTAACAGTAAATTATATATATATAATTTACTTGGTATAATGTATGTTGATGATTGACTGAAATGTTAAACCGCCCTTAATCCACTGAGGGAGGGGGAGGGGGAGAGGGGGGTGGCTAAACAAAAAAAGAATCACTATATGTATGTATATATATATACATGCATCTGCCGTAGTGGGGAACGAATGCTATTTATTATTATTATTATTATTAGAAACTTGTGGAAAGGCAATAGTTGTCATGTGTGGTCAAACAAAAGGAACAATGGTGTGTTTTGTTTAACTCACACTGTTTCTCCACTCGCAACTTAAGTTGGTGTTCAACGCTGCCATGTTTTAGGGACTGGAATGAGTGAGTTTCTGTGCTTCTGCCTTCCCCCCTCCCTCCCTCCTTCCTGCTCCTGCTCCTGCTCCTGCGACTAAGCTCCACGCAGAGGGAGTCGGGCGGTTGCGGGGAGCCTCCAAAAAAAA